GCTCGCTGCCTTGGCTTCAATCCCCTCCACCATTGCCGGGCCCATCGCCTACGGCATCTGTCAGACCGGTCCGTATGCTCTCTCACCGTGTATTCCTGGATGACAAACGGCTCGGGTGCCTACGCATGCAGGATGCAACGCCCTCGCTGTCGCCTGCTACGCCGGTGCCGGATTCACATTCGGGACCGTCGTAGCAGCCCCCGCGGGCCCCGCTGCAGTCCTTGCTTGTAACGCAGCTCTGGGAACTTGTTCAGCGGCTTGTGCCACGACTGCGCTTATCGCGCCCATTCCGTGAGGTAGGTGCTATGACCTGGCCCTTGGTCGATCTCTCACGTGCACCGAAGGTGGCTCGACATTGCAAGCGCCCTCTGACTGGGCTCGGCTGCCTTAATCTTGGACTCGTAGTATGCGCTGTACAGCTTTTGCCAAGTTTTCGAGTGTATCGCTCTCCATCATATGCATCCTTATTTTATGTCGTCGCCGTGCATGCAAGGGTTCCCACCACCTACGCATCTGCCGTGCCACATGTGTGCCAGAGGGCTGGTGTGAGCCATGACGAATCTCACATCCGGCCAATGCGAAATGTATTTCTTCCTCCCGAGTTCTCTTTATCGAGTAAAGCCTTACGGTATTGGGAACCATGCAAGTTCAAGACATGCATATGGCCGTCACTGTCTAGATTCTTTACATCCTCCCTTATCGCCCCGTTCTTCCGCATTTTCTGACACAATGAGAACTCAAAGATATGGTTTTGATACACTTCATATCTGGGAACGTCGTGGGAACGGATTGTCTTCTGGCACTTCAACTCGATGTCCCGGCTTTGGAGTCCAGGATCTTTCCCTCGCCACATTCACTGATATCCTCCCCTTTCCTATAGCGAGAATGCCGCTGCGCATGGAACTGATAGATTTGGGTAGCTGTGATGTGGCTTATCATTTCCGGGTGCGTGCTGTCTGATAATCGACAGCTCACGTAACCCTCGCATTTCAATACAGTGAGCCACAACACGATGCATGCATGATCAGCCCTGGTTCTTTGGCCCGAGTTCTCGGCAGTGGGTATCGTATATACTTGGTAGGGAACCCGTTTGGACCACGCCATGCATAGCCGGGAGGCTAAGTAAGTATACTCCAGGAATGGGACACTCATGGATGCTAAACGTCTCTTATAGGTCTTCTTACCGCATTCATCACCGTGAAGGCATCTTTTTGTATTTCCGCGCTTCGGTTCTTTGACCCAGGACACCTTCCTGTTGCTATTGTGAAGTGATGCTGTGGACGGCGTGGTGCCAGGTCTGTATAAACCGAGCGGTCGCTTTCCCTTCCCCTCTCTCTCACCTTTCCCACTTCCCCAAGATCAACTCCAGTTCGAGACCATGCGCATCTACTTCCTCGGTCTAGTAACGCTCGCCGCCATCATCATGATGGTTTTTATCCCTTCCACTGTAGCAGGGTCCTTCGAACACGCTCTGTGCCAGACTGGTGCGTACGCTTCCTTTCAACCCCTTCCTGCCTACTAGTATATAACAAGCCACCCGGGTGGCCTGCTCCGGGCAAGATGCAACCGCGTCGTTATCGCTTGCTACACCGGTGCCGGATTTGTGTTTGGGACCGTAGTAACGAACGCTGCGACCCCCGCTGCAGTCCTCGCCTGCAACGCCGCTCAGGGATTTTCGCACAGAATTTATGCCGCTATAGCGCGCTAACGAGCGCATCCCTTCGGGTGTGTGCATTATTACCTCTCGCTTTATGCTGCAAATTATGCATCTCACTTTGGCAAGCGTAAAGTAGGAGTTTTCACATCAAGAGCAGTCCGAATTTATTCATGCTCCTGTAGTATGTTATGTACAGCGTTCTCAGAATCTTCGAATATAACATTCGCCGGTAGATGCAACAGTATGGATGGCACCCATCCTCAATTTATCCGCGATCATTCAGGCTGGCATCGAGCTACCGTCGTCTACGCAATACTGGGACGACTGTGAACTCGGATTGCTCAAGCATAGCGGGCATATATGTACATGTATGGCTACAGCATATGATACAATGTCCGTGATAACAATGTCCGTGATACACCGACCATATATCCTTGCATATCGCATGTAATAAATAGTCCCTGCAAACCCAGCTGAGGAAATAGTCCCGTGCTTCACAAGTACGTTAAGTGTGTCGCCTTCTCAGAATCTTGCGTTTCGGAGGCGCAGTTTTGTGAGGACAGATAAGGTTCCACCTGGGAGATGGTTAGTGAGACTTCCCGGCGGCGAATACACCACCCGCATACCTTATCACCATATCACCGTAACCAACGACACGCCCACCCTTCCGCACGGGCATTCCCGCGCCCTTGATATGATAGTCTTCCGCAGCCTTCGAAGACGACAAAGGCACCGGGACGAGGTACATGTGACCGTCCATCCCTTCCACATACACGACGTCATCCTGCTCGAAATAGCAGGACGACTCCCGGCACGGTAGCTCTAGGGTTAGGGCTATGTTGTCCGTGCAGGCTTGGGCAAGCTGTGGAGTCTGAGCGGGCGCTGGGGCTGCCTGGCACGCCGGAGGGAGGATGACTGCTGGGGATAGTAGTATCAGCGCCGAGCAGAGAGTTATAATCAGTACCAACTACTGACCGATCGGGATCTGGTTTAGGTTTTTCCACGGGCACGGTGAAGGGTGGTTTAGGCTTCATATGAGGAGAACCCTTGGACCCTTCGGAGGCTTGGGATTTCGTCTTTGGGGAAAATGCAGCTTCACAAGGGCCATTTCCTTGCTCAGTGAAGGTTGCTTTGGTCCCCATAGGAGGGGATCCTTTCTGACCTTTGGACGCTTCGGATTTCGGTTCAGGTGAAGGCGCGGTTTCACCGGCCGGTTTCCCTTGCTCATCGCTAAAGTGTACATGTCTGGCTCGCAGAGCCTGTTTTCTCAGAGTCCGATACGCCTCATACACCTGTAAGTAGATTGAAACTATAGCCGATACTCGACCTTCAACCTGAACTGAGATCGTACCTCCACGAATTTTCATTTGCCGACTC